AAGAGGGTGTGCTGGCAAGATCCTGGAGGGCAGGGGCCTAGTGGGGGCGCAGGATGGTGGGACACTGGGCACTGGGAGGAGCCGGAGCCTGCAGGAGCACTGAAGGTGTGAGGGGGCAGGAGCTGGGGGGCTCTGGGGATGTAAATGGTCTGGGTTGGGGGTTGCTGCCATCCTGGACCCCCCTAACAGAGTCAGGGGGTGCTGCTCCTCCTTCCCTCCCGCAGACTACACCCTGTGGCCCTTCTGGGTAGACACCCACGTCACCCCCCCCTTCCGCCACGCCAGGTTAGTGAGGAACAGGGAGGGGTGGGGGGGGCTGTGGCAGGTGCCTGGGGCTGGTGTGGTCAGTCTGAGGGTGCCCCTGCCCCCCCCACAGCGCGGGTGTGGTGCTGGACGCAGGGGGCCGCCCCGTGCGCCTCTACCCCGAGGGGGTGGCTGTGCTGGGGCGGGCGGGGGGTGCCGGTCGCCGCTGCCTCCCGGTGAGTGCCGCCTGCCCCCCTCCCCAGTCCCTCCCTCTTGCTGCCCCCCACTGACCCTTCACCCCGACCCTTAGGACGAGCGAGACACGGGGGGCAGCCCAGCTGCTGGAGCTGTTTGGGCTGCGGCGCTTCCTGCAGCGAGCGGAAATCTACCCAGGGGCCAAGACCGCTCATTTCCACAGGTACCGGCCCCTCACGTACCCGTCATCCCCCCCAATCCCAGGGATCCACCCTAGGGCCAAGATGGCCACTTGCACTAGCACCAACCCCACGGCCCCCAGAGAAATACCCCAGGGGCTAAGATGGCTTATTTCCACGGGTACTGACGCCCACAGCCCTGAGATCTACCCCAGGGATGGGCCCAGCACCCCGTGTGGCCCCCATGGGCCTCCCGGAGATCTACCCCGGGGGTAAGACAGCTCCTTTTCACAGGTATAGCCCCACTTGACGCTCCCCCATGGCCCCAAAGACATGTAAGAGCCGCCCCTCATCCACCCTGCCCCCTGGGCAGAGATCCACCCACCTTCTCACCAGTGCCTCCAGATCCCACATGGCCCCTACACACCCCCCCCCCCCCC